ATATACGAATGTCCTTTTTCACATGTAATGTTCGCTGCAAACTTTCTGAAAAATAGTGTTCTATGTGGGATGTAATCAGCAACTTCAAAAACTCTCGAGTAAAATGTTCCACGTAAACTGCTAATGACTTAAATATTTAATCAGACATAGTGGAGCTGCCATATTGAATTTTTAAAATTGGATTTAAGAACCGAAATCTGATATGCCAAAATTCTTCCAAATAAATAGGAAAAATTTTTACAATTTATATATTCTTTATTTAAATGAATTATGTATCATGTGATACACTTTAGTTCTTTTTCTTGTTTTTCCGAATTTAAGAACATCTTAGTAGAATTTCACTGTATAACAAATTTTTTACAATAGAGAAAATTATACATAAAATTTTTTAACATAACATGTTTAATTAGTTTAATAAAGTAGTGTTTACTTGCATTGACAGGTTTAATTTTTTTTTAAAAGATAAATTTTATTTTGCTGACATATTTTGTAGTTCCAAGTAGACCGTAACATAACTGTAATGATACATGTAATGTTAGTAATATTGCAATGTAACATTACAGTGACATTACAGTAATATGAAAATGTCAGCTCCAAGTGATCTTACAAATAATGTTACAGAGATATTTCATGGTAATTTTACTGTGATGTTGCAGCAGTGTTGCAATAGTGATGTACTTCGAGCGAGTCTCGTCTCGAAAAACCGAGAATCTCGCTAGAAAAACAATGAAAACAATTAAATGTTATATTTCCATCTCTTTTCTTTTATTACTGCAATATTACTGTGACATTACTATAACATCACAGAAGTGTTACCATGTAATATCACTGAAACAATTTTTCGCCCCAGGGGGGGGGGGGGTCATGATCCCCCTCCTTGGATCCGCTACAGTACATTCTGCTAATACTAACATTGTATATAACATTACAGTGACATTACAGGAATGTTACGTTCCACTTAAGAGTTTATTTTTGTATAAACAAAAATACATATAATAAAATTACTAAGGCATTGATAAGACATATATTATTATGTTATTTGTCATTTCTACTAATATTCATTTAAAATTTATTAATATAATAATATTAAACCTCAAGTAACAGTTTTGAATTCCTCTAAGCAATCATACAAATAAGGTATATCTTTTCATTTAGTATGCAGCGAAACAATGCCTTAAATTAATTATACCTTTCTATCAAGTATTAATAATGTATTAGACTTTACTAGAACTTTCTTCAAATAAAGATATATTATAAAAAAAACTTTTACATTTAAGAACTAAATATTGTAAATATACATACACCTATGCAGCTATAATTTTGTTAGATCAATATTGGGCAACTATATGTTACATTCCACCCTACTGCACGGCCATTTGTTGCATACACTTCTAATCTGCGCGCGCATGAACAACATAAATACAGTATACTTTATTATTATTAATTAGTAAAAAATTTCATTCCCGAAATGCACAAATCTAAACATAGCTACAGTTTTATTGAATTAATGTGTACATTTCATTACGCACATTATTAAGAACTTATGTGTTTCATATTTTATAAATTCGGGCTCACAGAAATAATTAAATTACCACGCTTTATATTTATTTATTAAGAACCTATTAATAATTTCACTGTTTCTACATAGTTTGGAGTTTATTAATATTTATATTGAATGATTTTATAAATTAAATTTTCTAATTTTACGTTTACTTATTATTTTTATTAGAGGAATAGACTTTATTGTTTTCAGAATTAGAGATTTTTTTTATAATAAGTTCGTTTTGAAATTCTATTCTTTCAACTGTAAATCATCCTACGTAGCAGAACATATGAGCTCAATATTGCCCGTCAATGCTGAAGCAATATTGCCTCAATATTATGATGATAACCGTACGCTACATCTCTGATTAGTTATATATTTTACAAACCATTTTGCATTTTTGAAGTCTGACATCAGAATTTTTAAATTTTGTTGTCATATGTTGGCGACATGAATTTTTAATTTTGACATCAAATTTAAATTTAGTGGACCGAAAAATATCCGAGTAAATATTTTAGACAAATCCGTCAACATTAAAGAAATTTGGTCGCCATATTGGATCCGACATTTTGAATTTTGAAAAACTGACATCATATACAAAATCAGCAATATATTACAATAACTAATAATAATGAGTTAAAATAAATAAGAAAAGGAGACGGTTACGGCCCTTATTATAGACCTAATCTGACGGATATTGAGCGCCTTTTTAATCTGTAGGTCAAAATTGACTTAAATTTTGACATAATATGTAACGGTCTTTATGGAAGACTTTAATAAGTAATTTATTAGGCTATAGAGTCGTCTTTTGACCCGTACACGGAAAAAATAAGTTCAGCAGATTTTACGAAACTAATTTCGCACTAGCGGATATTTAAGATTCCTAGACGAAGTTTTTCAAAAACCCAGAAACTTTCACTACTTTAAGCAGAACAATTTCCGAGAAACTGCAACCAGTGTTGTAATTTATAAAACAAGCTTGAATGTAGAAATGTTTCGTATTTTCTGGTGAACATTTTATCAGAAAATGGTAAAAATGTTTCGTGCAATCTAAAAACGCGTGGTTTGAGTTTCCACTTCGCTGTCTATCGTGAATTCTCGAACACAAAGTTTCGTAAAATTCTATACGGGGTGTACCAAAAGTCGCGTTATAAATAGATATGTTGAAGCTTGTCTCGTCGCGTCGGTATTAACTTGTCTGCTGTATATAGAGATAATATGTGGAAGGAAAAAGAGAACTGCTTTACCTGCCGGTAACATTTAGATAATTGTTTTCTTTTACGTATTTCACATTTCATTGTTCCAAATTCGTAACATTTTTTATGTGATTTTGTAATCCAAACTTTTAATTATTATTAATTTCTTTTAATTTACATTCCAATAAATTTCATAGTTTATCATAATATTTACCGATGACAATAAATATATATAAATATATATATACATATATATTAATTTCTCAAAATTTTAATTAATTCTAATTTTTATTAGTTTTAACTGTTATTACTTCAAATTTTAGACAATTTAATATTAAAATTTTTTGAGTTTGAATTTAATTTTGAAAATTTTTTGCAATTTATTTATAATTTAAAATTAAGAATAAAATTATTTTTTAAAAATTGAAAAATTTTATAGAGATTTTATAACCAATTATAATTAAAAAATGTTATTTTAAAAACCATAAAATATTTTGTATAACTTTTAAAAAAATGATTTTTTTAAAAATTAATATTCAGTATATTGACATTTCTCACAAGCGCAGTTTTAATCTCCTCAGTTAGTATATAAAGAAACTCAATTCTTTCATCTACAAGTGCGAGTTATATTGTATGTGCGTTGCGTCAGAATTCGTTTATATGTATGCGTATTTCCGTTAAGTTAGTGTCAGAATAAAATAAGCCAATCCAAGCGAACCATTGCGTTGTAGAGTGCAGTCACATGTGTCGAACCAATCATCTATCTCCTATAGAAGACGAGAAAAAATGGTCTTGAGAGCTCATTGGTACATTAAGAAATTCTTTTTTCTGATTTATTCGTTTTTTTCTCCGTGAATATTTTTTTCCGTGGCGCATGCGCTTCAGGCTAAACATTTTACAAAACTCTTGAATTAGAACGTCCAACCGATCATTTGTGAATTCCATAGAATTTTTTTTGAGTTTTCGAGAAACGCAGTCATCATATATTACTATTGATTCTGTTTTATCTTATACTAAACTCCTCTCCGTATCCGCTATTCCAAAATTAGTTTCGTAAAATGTACTAAATTAATTTTTTCCGTGTAGGTAAAAAATAGGTCAAAATTATCATAAATTTTGACGTATTGTAACGGCTCTTTATCTGGGTCTTTACTAGTTCTCCTTTTGCCTTGTAGGTCAAAAATTAGGTCAAATTTGGCATAGATTTTGACGTATGATAATAGGCCTTATCGGGACCCCTTTTGACCTTCAATTTTAATTAAATTTTGAAAAAATAGATGTCAGTTTATAACAACTGTATTGGCTAAAACCTTATATTAAGATTATGTTTGCTTTTTTTACTTCCAGGATGCTTCAATGCTGTCCTTACGGGACAGCATCTAATCTAATTTTTGAAGCAACTTTACAACTTATTGCCTATATAGATCAAAATTATTTTCATATTTGACATCAATTTTTCTATAATTTAACAACCCTTGATCCGTAAATTTTAATGTAACGTAAAGTTCTTTGATACGCAACGTCCCCTTGGGGGCCCTATGGTGTATCTTTTTGACCTATAGGTTAAAAAATATGTCAAAATTTGACCTAAATATTAACGTAAGGTAACGATTCCTTGGAGGGTCGTTAGGGGACTTTTTTGACCTGTAGGTTAAAAAGTAAGTCAATTTTAACATACACACTTTAAAAATACATTGTTTATGGTATCACGTAGGATTTTTTCTAAAATTTCATAGTTCATTTGTTATTAACAATTTACTGACAAATTTGAAAGATTAAATTTAAATGTACACCATTCGGCCAAAAATCAATATAATATTTAAAACATCCTATGCTTTTCGTTAGCTATTGTAATAAGAAATTAAAAAATTTAAATACCTACTCATTATATTTCAAAATTTACAAGATAACAGTTGATGTGGTCGCGAATCCTACGCTCCAAGGAGGAGTTGACGGACATCGGCTGCAGAGCCGCTAATCACCATGAAATTTTAAACAATTAACTTTTTGTTTACCCATGAAATGATGTACAGTAAAGTCCTCATATCATAATTTTGATCGACTTTATAGTTTCTGTAAAAAAATCCACAAAAAACACCTATTTTTCTGCCTCTAGAGTATCATAACCCCTTAACGTAACAGCCCTCATATATGGTTTGAAATATTAACGCGCATTGATAACTGGTTCTCGGAAAGATGTTTTCTCTACATATGTCGCAGGTACATTAAAATCCTGAACCTAGTCCTTAATTTGATTTCAGAAAAAAAGACTACTTCATCTCCACCAAAGAGATTAACTACTGCTTGGCCAACTGTGCACTACTCTTACTACCCAGAGAAAACTGACAAACCTCATACTAGAAACCAAAACATTAGAAAAGCAGAAGAAAAGTTACGTAGTCACAGTACAGGTGAGATTTTCATCGATTGTTAATAAATTATTCATATTAGTAGATTTAGCTTGTAAAAATATGATATGATATTTCCATGCCTTGGTTTGAAATCATCACCAGCCACCATTATTTTAACAAAAATGAAGATTAACAAATTCAAAAAATTTTATTAAATGAAAAAACAGAATCATTTTTACACAAATAAGTTTGAATACTTTTTTGGTAATAGATTTACATTTAATTGATTTTCTTTTTCTCTAAGTTTGTAGTGCTTTTAAGACGCATTTTTTGACTCCTTATTGAACATTTTTCGAACATGTTAAGCAAAGTTATTGACTATTGAAAAAAATAAGTTTTTGTGGTTTTTTAGTATTGAATTTTCAATACTATACGACAATGTTGCAATTTATGAAATTTCTGTGTGAGGAAACAAAGTGTTCATGAAATGATCACAAAAATTGTAGTTTGCAACAGTTTTTTGCATTATTATAGTTACGCTCACTAAACTTTTCGACCTTTTAATTTTCAAAATTGTTGTATGAAATTTTCTACATCTAATTTTTAAAATGTCCGATTCATTATTTATATTTTTATCGTTACAATTACTTTTCTTTAGTACATTTTCTACATTTCAATATAATTCCAGTTGTTTTTTTTCAGATAAATTTATAAACTTTTCTATTTTCCATAAAAAATGAAAATTATTATTAGGTATTATTATGTGAAGAAAACGTTAGAAATCGTTTATCGAAAGATGTAATTATCACACCTAAAGTATTAAAAACAATCAATTTGAAAGTTCAGAATTTTATCAACTATCTATTCATCATCACATTCATAATCAAAATGCTTCTTTACTTTTCGACGCTTTATAGCTCTTGTCTTTTCAAATTTTGTTTCTGTGTCCAAGCTATATCTGTAGCGTTATTAATAAGTTCCTTAATTCTTCATTAGAGCGATAAATTTGCAAATATGCAGTTAGATTATTTAAGTGAGCGCAACACTGAGTAACATCAAAGTTAAGCTTTTGGAAAATTTTACTTACAATATTAACATGGCTCAAAATATATTATACCAAAAAACCAAAAAACAAATTAATTCAAAATTTTGTAATTTTTTTTTGCTAAAGATGTGGCTAAATTTTTAACGCTATTCTCAAAATCTCTTTAGCTTATTTCAAATATAATGCATAAATTTCTCCTAAGACATCGTGTATCCAATAAGGGTTTCTAAGTTAAATATTTAACATAACGTTTTGTAGAACATGAAAAGAAAAGATACAATTCCTGAACTAAAGAGAAAAAATGTACAGTCAAAGTATTTTATTTTCTGCAACATTAACTACTTAATTTAAGCTAGGATATTAACAAGGAACAAAGAAAGCACGCGGATTTAATTCCAAAACTCTTTTTTGTAGGCCATTGTGTTTACCTCGTATATTTTCCCCATTTCCATAGCCTTGACCTCGTAAATCGTTTACGTTTAAATCTTCTGTTTCTAATGTTGGTAAAACAAAATCTGTTAATTACTTCTAAATATAGTATCAATAATAAGGCAAAGTAACAAAATGTTCCTCTGTACTAATCCCTGTATTCTTGAAGTCGATATATAATCCTTATGCAAATTGAAATTTGTTCTTGGTGACAGATATGAGGAGTGCAATATTTAAGTAAAGAATATTGAAAAATTGAAAAAGTATTGAAAAATATTTTGTAGTTTAAACTAATTCTAAAATTTTGTCTTTTGATTGCCTCATGCATCATATTTAATATTTTATTTTGTTCTCAAGACAATTGGCATGATTTTTTGTTTGAGACAGTTTTGTATGTTCTAACATAAAAGGATCGAATTTTAAAATTAATTCTATGCATTTCGAAACATTTTAATTGCTATTCTTAAATAATTTATTACTACTTCAAAGAAAAGATAAATTTTGCCAAACAAAAACTCAACAATATAAAGTATTCTCTCTATAACTCCTTGCTTGCATTTAGTTTCCGTATTTATTACATTTTGAATAATCAATGACTAGATTTTTCTTTAAGTGGTTGGAGAAATTTCTTATTAAAAACATTTTCTATGTGTACTTTCCTCTTTTCATGAATGTTTAAGTATGTACCCTAATTTTGCTAGTCTTTGTTCCAAGATTCATCACCAAAATGACTAGATTTGTCATTGTTTACACTAAATACTTTGCAGCAGAAACAATAAAGTAAATTTCTCGTTTTAGAAAATACAATAACCAAAATCAATCCACTTTTATCTTTCACTTTAAAATTCATTAATCCTTCTTCTTCTGTTTAATTTAAAGTCGCTTATGGTACGCTTTTAAAATAAAAATGGTCTTCTGTGACAAGGTGCTTGTTTTATTTATAAATTAATTTTAACAGATTTGTCTGTTTTGATTGAAAATATTAGTTAGAGTTTCAAAAAAAATTCGTAATTTTTACGCTTTTTCCCACTTTCATATACAAATAGTTGTGAGTATGCAATACATGATAATGTCCGCATATGCGAGTAAAAAGTTACCGTCAAACCTGACTGTTTATAGTAGAGTGCACTAAAAATAAACAGGAAAATAAAACTTTTTAACATATTGTTTATAGAATTATTGTAAAATAAGGTATTTAAAAGTTGATTACAAAACCAGGTTAGGCAATTAATATCATCATACAAACAATTTTTGTCACTTCACACTCTTTCAATAAAACTACACTATTTTGTATACGTTTTTCAACGTTCCCTACGACTGATATGATAACTTTTAATCCATTATTTTGTAAATGATAAATAAAAGTGTTAAGCAGAATGTTTCAACAATTTTAATTAAAAACAATAATCGTACAATAAGCATACAAGTTTTCTTTAATATTTGTAGTAGACATTTGAATGGTATTGCCTTAAAAAACAAAAATATTATTTCTTAGAAAGTCGCTGAAACTGTTAAAGTATAAAGTAAAGTTATATATACTTTTGAAATTTATGTACTGTGTTATTTTACTCATAAAATGCGCCGAGGGCTGTTTCTCGTCGTTCGTTTTCTTCTCTTTCTTGTAAGGCAACAACGTAAACGCAGCTTGCGGAATTGTTGCTTAAGCAATAATATGGTAGCATGCATATATATACGCTTGTGCAAAACGCAAGCGTTTTTTTATAGAAATGCGTAGGTAAATAAATATATATGGCAAATGGAAAGAAGATTCTCCTCGCTTTGCAATGTTTACTTTAATTCAGCTTAAAAACTAGAAAATATGAACAAATAGAGAGAATTCATTAAATTATTTAATTCGCAAATAAAATAAATGTTGTTCTACATATTATTTATAAAAAATGAGTACTACCACTTGTTAATAGCGAACAATTACCATTTGTCTTAATGATCCTGAAAAAAATTTAACAAATTTGAAATTATTTTTTGGTATAATACAATTAAGATATTGTAATTAATTAATTATATACTAATTTAGATCTGTTACTTAAGAATAACTTTTTAGCAGCTGTTTAAAAATTATTTGTTTCAGGGAGTGCGTACATAATCAGATGGAGTGCTCCACAGCTGATGTTTGTTGCAGTTCAGTACATTTTGACTGGAAGTTACATTCCACCATTTGTTGAACATGCGGTAAATTAAAACAGTTATAAACAATTAAACATTTAAAAAATAGTCAATTTTTTTCAACGAAAACAAAATACAATTTACATGCGAGCAGTTATCCGGTAAGAAAAGTTTAATTGAAATGAATTAAAATGTTTACAAATACCGTTGAATTCTGAACCTCTATAATTCAAACTGAAGTCGTTTTTGAACTTTGAAATTATAATTTCTTTTTAGAGAATTCATCCGAATACATTTATATTCGCTTCAATTCTTGTCGAAAATTGTAAACATTTTAATTCTAAAAGGTTTGTTTGAGTTAAATCAATGTAATTATGTTTGATAATATCGTTTGAGTTTGGAACAATAGAATAATTAACAGAATTAATATTTTTGACACTTTAATTCGTTCTTTAGGTTTAAAATTTAAGAAAATTTTTAGTTATAATCAAAAGAAGTCTCTGACTGAAGTTGCAAAAAACTACTGCGCAGCTGCAAAACAATTAGAAAACTACTGCGCAGCCTTTAAAGTATTTGAATGATCATGCACATGAACATGAACCAGTCAAAGTTATACACACACGAACTTGTGCATGAACATGTGCATGTTCGCCTAGATGTTCTCGAACTCAAAAGCCACTCAAGAATGTACACGTTCTTGTTCATGTTCTTTGTTCCAATTTCTTTTACAAGTTCACTTGCTAATCTTGTGTAGGTTCGGGTCAATGTTCCTGTACATGGTCTTGTGCAACATCGTGTACACGATCTTGTACACGATTTTTCAGCTGGGAAAAAACTTACTAAACCTTCTATAAACACATCTACATTTCATTCATATTCAATACTTAAATGTAAGATCTATAAATCTAAGGTTTAATGCTTTCTTCATATGTTTTTATCAGTTAACATAACCTTCAACGTTGTGTCCAATTCGTTTTCGAATGTCAACGCTTTTTCTAGGTTAGTTTCATCTTCAGCATTGTCATCCGAAATAAAGTTATTTACTTTACATTTTTTATTAATGATGAGGTAAACAAATTTACTTACCACAATTGACCTCGATTATTTGATTCATTTGAAGCCCAATCCGGCAATTGAACTGAATCACAACAGACTTCAATATCGATGATTATCGATTCTGCTTAGCAGCGAGCGGCACTAATGCGCATGTCGAACAGAGACTGGTAGTTAGCTCTAAGACGTTGGCGTAGCCCAGTATAACTCGCTGTAAAACACGAGTCAAAGTTCTACACGAGTCAAGCAAAGTAAGGTAGCTATCTTATTAAATGACGTATTTCATGACGTAATATAACTATCTCGGAGATCGGAAATGCAAAAAGTGTCTTCTGATTACTTACACAATTTTGAGCACAAAAAATTAATTTTCTCAGTGATTCAAGTGCAGCTCCAGTGTTTAATATTTTTGACATATTTAAATAAAATAATGATTAGCAGTTGACTTTTGATACTAAAAATGCAGATTGTGAAGTTAATTTACCAACATATGACAATAAGTTCTGATGAGATATTTCTCTATTAATGTATCGTTCAGTTCCAAAATATGACTCCGTAATCTGTGTTACACTAGTTGGATTGGAAATTATGTTAAGCGATGCGTAAGCGACCACAGTCCAAGTTAACCCAAGTGAAACAGAGATATACTACTCTGTGACGTGCTACATCGCTTATTTAATGACCGAATCGCATTGCTACGAATTACATTACGCTTAATAAGCATAAAATTCATGCTTTTTTGAATTATAAATTTCAATATAGTATTTTTAAATGTCACCTTAAACAACTAACTTAAAAAACAATTATTACCTGTTAAGATGATAATTAGACTAGTTAATTTGACACCAACAATAATTCATAAACTTTTTTATACATAAATAGTTCGTTATACTTTGTACATTTTTGTAATATTACATATATATTTTATGTATACCTACACCAAATGAAAAAAAATAACTTTCTCAAATTTTCATCTAAAAATTTTGAGTTTTGTGGAGAGTTATGAAGAGGAAAAGAAAAATATCAAAAAGCATTTTTCTCAAAAATTGCTAGATAGATTTTCAAAACTTCAAATTTAAAATTCCAAAAGTTTTTGATTTAAAAATTTTTTAAATTTGTTTCTTTTGGTCAAAATTTTTCTTTTATCACATTAACGCCCAACTCGTGAAAATTCTTTGGTCATTTTCAAGCTACGTAATTATAAATAAAACGGTTGACAATTTATACCAGAGGTACATTTTCTAAAGGTTTTGGATGTGCTCTTTCCGATTCCGGTGTCAAAAATAAATTTCGTCCAAACCAAAATTAAATATGGCGGTTTTAATGTCAAAAAACACAAAAAAAAATAGTAGATTGTGCAACGAGTGGAGAACAAGGGCGATTTCTCGCGAGCTCGAAGTTTGCTGCGCAAGCGTAGCGCGCGCAGCAATCGAGCGAGCGAAAATCGCTGTTCTCCACAAGTTGCACATACTATTTTGTCCAACAACTGCAAAAAATTTTTTTTATGAATAATAAATTTAAACTATTAATTTTTCAAAATTTTAAGTTGACTTTACTCGTTATTTATCGAAATCAAAATATTACAATGATGTTATAGCAATAACTGAGAGTGAAACAAAATCTAATTTTGAAAAAAAATTTTCAAAAAAATCTGAAAATTGAAAAAAAAAATTTTGGAAAAAAATTTTTCAAAAATGAATGTCTTGAAAGTGTCCCCAAAGATCCCCAGAGTGTCCTTAAAATTCTGTTCCTAAAATGTTCTAATTCTAATATAAAATAAAAAATCGATTAATCAATTTCTCATTCCACCACCAGTGGGGAAATGACTTCATTTCTCCACTGGCCAAACCACCAGTGGGGAAATGTACTACATTCCTCCATTGGTGCCTAGCGTACAATAGTTCTATTTCCACGAAGGCGTTGGACAAATTCATTTTTTCAAGTTTGACATTTTTTTTCACCTTGAAAAAGTGTAAGAATAAAATTCTACTTTCAACCATCGGTGCATAAAAATTATACACTTTCAAGAACCGTAAAGTAGAATTAAAAATTTCAAGATGGCGGACCAATATGGCGTCAAATCTAAAGTAAAATTTAAAAATTTTGGGCAATATTGGTCAAATTGCCCAAAAGTCAATGGATTCGCCTGAATTTTGTTACTCGGGGGTTTTTGGGGTCGCTCATTACGAATATAAACTTTATTTTCAAAAATTCAAAATGGCGGATCCAATATGGCAGACGAGTTTTACAAAATTTCATCGAATTCACTTGAGACTTGTCACTCGGGGGTTTTTGGGGTCGCTGATTACGAATCTGATGTTACTTTTTCAAAATTCAAAATGGCGGATCCAATATGGCGGACTTATTTTTTAAAACTGATCAAATTCACTTGAAACTTGTTACTCGAGGGTTTTTGGGGTCGCTGATTACGAATATAAACTTCATTTTCAAAAATTCAAAATGGCGGATCCAATATGGCAGACGAGTTTTACAAAATTTCATCGAATTCACTTGAAACTTGTCACTCGGGGGTTTTTGGGGTCGCTGATTACGAATATGAACTTCATTTTTAAAAATTCAAAATGGCGGATGCAATATGGCGGACTTATTTTTTAAATCTGATCAAATTCACTTGATACTTGTTACTCGGGGGTTTTTGGGGTCGCTGATTACGAATATGAACTTTATTTTCAAACATTTAAAATGGCGGATGCAATATGGCGGACTTATCTTTTAAAAATGATCAGATTCACTTGAAACTTGTTACTCGGGGGTTTTTGGGGTCGCTGATTATGAATCCGAAGTTAGTTTAAAAAAATTTTAAATAACAAATATTTGTTAAAAAGATTTTTTTTGTCTCTTAGCCGCCTGTTTAGACGTTTACCAACTCTTACCACGCGGAGGTAGACAAATTTAAGAGTCTTTTTTTTAATTTTTAAATTTTTTTTACTTTTTTTTACTTTTTATTTTTTTGTTTTTTTGTTTATTTTTTAAATTAATTTTTTTATTTATGATTTGTTTTTCTCAATTGATTAAAAACTTTTATTTTCTAAACTCTTATTTCGGGGGTCTTATTGTCTTTAGTGACATTTTTCGAAGCAACTCTTGCAAAAGTATTTTTTACAAGCCTTGCAAAACTTGTATGTTCTAATAACACAATTTTGCTCAGAACATATTTTTTGCGTACTTTTCTGGCATGTGTCGTGAGATATTCTACTTCTTGCAGTTGCTTTACTGATATAATGCTTGGAAATCAGGAGAACAAATTCCTTAGTTCCAATCTTTTTACTTTTAGGGAGTGTGGCATTGTATAGTACAACCGCATTCACGATTGCAGATTGAATCAGTCTTATAAACGAAACCCAAGTCCATCGCTTTGACCGAATACTTGGCAATACATTATTGCAGTGTGCATCGTGCAGGTCCACCTCACCCATAAATTTATTATAAATGTGGAAAACTTTTGGAAAAGGAATTTCCACTCTTGATCTTTCTTCTGCATTATATCTTTCTAAAGGCATGAGAGGAGTTACTCCTGCAGCTGTGGAAAGAATTGAAACTTGCTTTGAATCCATAATACTGACATAATTTATCCCACTGTTTTTGTCATGTTTCGCAACAAACGTTCCTCGAGAAGATTTTTTATCAATGACGTTTTTTTCACTCATTCTATTTTCCCTCACAGTGCCTGTTACACGCAAACCTACATTTTTTAAATGTAAAACAAGGTCAGGACTGGTAAAAAAATTGTCGAAATAGAGATGATACTCAGGAAGACTTCGCGGACTTGTATCAAGAAAAAAATTTTTTAATAAAAGCATGACTACTCGAGTACCTAAAGTACATTTAGTTAAAACGTCTCCAACTTTTAAGTTTTTCCCGCAGTACAAATCTAAGTCTAAAAGGTAACCATCTTGAGTACAAAGACCCCAAAATTTTAATCCAAATCTGATCGGTTTACCTTTAATAAATTGTTTCAGACCAGATCGTGCATAAGACTTAGCCATCATTTC